TGTATTTCATAAAAATTGGGGGCAATATAATCCTTATCCTCGGTATGGATTGACTGCACTCATGTCATGCTTTTGTTGATTGTAGAACTCGTGTAGTCAAGTTTCAGTTCTCGAATGAGCCTATCTAAGAGTCGGAAAGGAGGAAATTATATGCCTAAGGGTCAGTTTGTCTATTTTCTTAAAGCTAGAAAGATTATTTCTAAGGGTAGCATATACCATCTAGTTAGGGTGAGGGATGTGGATTCCGAAAGCCCTACTCTTGGGTCGGTCCCCGTTGTTAATGAGTTTCTGAAAGTATTCCCAGATGATCTGCCCGGTAGTCCTCCCGCAAGGGAAATAGACTTCGGTATTGACCTTCTCCTAGATACGCAGCCTATTTTTATTCCTCCTTATCGAATGGCTCCGCTAGAACTAAAGGAGTTAAAAGAACAATTGAAAGATTTGTTGGATAAGGGTTTCATCCGATTGAGTATCTCTCCATGGGGTGCTCCAGTCTTGTTTGTTAGAAAGAAGGACAGTTCTCTTCGTATGTGTATAGACTATCGTCAGTTGAATAAGGTTACCATTAAGAATAAGTATCATCTCCAAGGATAGATGATCTGTTTGACCAACTTCAAGGAGTGAGTTACTTCTCTAAAATTGACCTTCGGTCGGGTTATCACCAACTAAGGGCGAAGAAAAAAGATATTCCGAAAACGGCTTTGAGAATCCAATATGGTCACTTTAAGTTTTTGGTGATGTCTTTTGATTTGACAAATGCTCCAGCCGCTTTTATGGATTTGATGAATGTGGTGTTTAGACAATACCTTGACATGTTTTTTATTGTGTTCATTGATAATATATTGATCTATTCGAGAAGTGAGGATGATCATATTGATCATTTGAGAATTGTGTTGCAAATTCTCAAGGATCAACAACTCTTTGCAAAGTTTAGCAAATGTGAGCTGTTTGGCTAAGGTCCGTAGCTTTTCTTGGTCACATTGTTTCAAGTAAGGGGGCTTATTTGTGTTGTTTGCCCATGAGGATGTCTCGTATATGATATTATTGTTTACAGAGAACTTTGATGAAATTTATTGCTTTAAGAGCATGCACCTTGATAATGTTTATTGCTGTGAGAGTACCTTGATGATATTTATTGCTTCGAGAGCATTTTAATGATATTATTGTTTTGAGAGCATGTTTTACATGAGATGCCCGAGTTAGGGGATTGAGATAACTATTTTAGCATGTTTTACTTGAAATGCCCAAGTTAAGGGCTCGAGATGATTTTTACCACTTTTCAAAACGAGTTAAACTTCTTTTGAATGATACATACTTCTTTCAAGTGATAAATGCTTCTTGCAAAATGATAATTACATCTTGTAAATAATTTCTTGGACCATCTTTCCAAGCAAGGACGAATATCATGGTTTATCAACACACATACACACACACTATTGTTGTTGTTCATGAAAATTTGAGAAAATGTGAAAACATCATTTTTAGAATGAAAGTAAAAAACCTTGCAACGTACTTGACCACAAGTTAGGTGGCTAGTGGATGAGATATTTAGATTATGAGTTATTTGGTATATGGACAGCGAGTCCCTCATGGATCCTTGTTTTGGAAGATAAGGCTCGATGAGGTGTATACGATAGATTGTACGACAATCTTGTACCATACATTACCATCTCATCATCATATGCATTGTATTGTATTGCATTGCATTGACCAATAATTTTTATCGGTGTAATTAGCTTTCTGGTCCGAGAATTTGTGTGTAGAATTACTTGTTTACTTTACTCGTGCTGTTAAAATATAAAAATGTGGCATCGATGTCGATGTGAAACTTTTCTGTATGTAGGTGGAAGCATTTCAGAGTTTGTTTTATAAGTATTGATTATCTACTTTGTACTCAGTTGGCCAAGCCTGCGTGGCCGACTGAGTACATGTGGATCATACTCACTCCTACGTCTGTTATCCTTTTTGGTGTAGATTCTAATTCGAGTGTTTCTATGGCGGTTAATCAGATTCAGTAGATCGAGTCGTCGTTGGAGTTGTGGTGAGATCCTGCTTTCTGGATCATCATTAGTCTCCATCTATCATTTACACTCTTTACTTTTATTTCAAAGACTTGGGATGTATTTCATATTTCAGTGATGTAGCAGATGCTCTTTATTATTTATGATATCAGATTTTGGGAATATTTCATCGTGTACCTAATAGTTTGATTTGAGGCCGACTTCCTTCTAGAAGTCTCGTATGGTAGTTTTATCTTCTTTTCCACAATATCTTCCTTTCGCCTTACCTATTGAGTTTGAGATGGGTGTTTGTCATCATAACCTTGGTTTGTGGGACATGACAGTTATTGTTTTGTATATCTTCTTTGGAGTTTTGATATGAGACTTGGTATTGAAATTTGATGTTAATACTTCTTTCACGTAGTTATTTTATTTTATATTATATATTATTGGGTTGGCTTACCATTATGGAGGTTAGATAGGTATCATGATCACTTGTCTTAATTTTAAATTGTTGATATTTAGGTCATGTGTTTTTAGTATTGAATTAAAAATGGAGGAATGCCTACAGTTCCATTCCTATACTTAATTAAGTAAAAGAACCTTAGCTACACAATGGTCAGTAAACAGCAGATATAATAGAATATTCATTTTGTGCTAATTGAAGAATATTGATAGATAATCAATCTACCATACATACAACATCAATCTCACTTATTCGCGTAATGAAAAATATATTTTAGTTTACAAATAATGTAATTAAAAATAGGAAGAAATAATGTAATTTTAATTTGAAAATGATTGTAGCCATAAATGAGCATCAATGAAAGATAAGTTGAGGAAAGGAAGAGCTTGGGTGTCATTAAGCTTTTGAACGTATGATGCTCTTTGTGACATGTTTGACCCTGCTCCTGAACATTTGTACTCCCCATAGAAAATCGTCCTGTAATCATTTCATGAATATTTTGTCAAATAAAAAATGGTATAGATGAGTCAAACTTTTAAATGATGAGCATATTTTGTAAAATGAACTTAACTGATCTCTTGAAGGGTCATTTAAGTCGTTCCATCCGTCAGGAGAAATAATATCAGTCATGAAAGTATTGGAAAAGACTACGGTTGAGAAAGACCTCCATGCTCGACCTAACCAAATCCGACCAGTTCCTCCAATACTGCAGTTCACGAATGCAAAACCGCTATCTTCATCTTTCGAAGCCCTGCCATGTGCCGTTACTGCTCCATTTATCGATCTTGATCCTGGACTCGCAATTGATGTCAATTCACAGTTCTCATAAAATGATTTTCCATTGCCAAACACAAAGTCGATAGAACCTTGTATGTAACATTCTTTGAAGTAATGTCGACCTCTATCATCATGGAGGGTATCCTGAGATCCGAAAAATCCACAACCCCAGAACGCTGCTTGGTCTCCTCCTATTCTTATTGCCACTGCTTGTGCTCCTACCGCCCCCGGCACTGCCATCGGAGCCACATTCTGTGTATATCCATCATTATATATTATATATTTATTATTATTATTAATGCATCTTGATGTTTTAATAGAAAGGGAGATATACCATGAAACTTAAATTCTTAGCTATGAAGTTGGTGGAGAAAACTTGGACAGAGCCACTGTTAAATGTTCCATGTGATGAATTGGCATTGTCATTATATATTATAGCTGTTGAAGTGTACCCCTGTCCTTGAAATGTGATATTAGGCTTGCTTTTTGGAACAATCACCTTTTCACTTCATGCATAAACAACAATTTTACACTCATCATAATATAAACTACTCTATCTTACACTAATTAACATATTTATTACACACTACTTACAAATATATGCCACTGTTGATCCAAATCAAGCTCCTTATCGCGCTAAAATTCGCAACAGAATCAACAGCAGCTTGCACGGTCGTGAAATTGCAACAACCATTATGATCAACACAAATAATTGAAATTGTGTTAGGATCTATACTTGGAAAATTGGGCGAGAAATTATCACATATCGTTTGGTTTTTTCTTTTGTCATCATGGTGATGATGACTTCGATCAACTTTAAAACTTAAATGCTCAAGTAACATAAACGATGTTGATACAAAAATAGCCACAATGGCAATCAAAAGAGGGAAATACATGCCTTTACCATTCATTTTTCTTTTCTTTTCTTGTTGGAACTAAAAAAAATAAGATTAGATATATTTCAAATAGGATATATGACTTGGGTTTATATAACTTGGAAAAAACAATATTGAGGGGAAAGGTAAAAAAGTAAACTTAGATGAAGTATAAGAATAGATGACATGTCTTGCAAATTACCCTGTCCCTTTTTGGTAACCTTTTTTTGCAGAATGCACGTACCTACCTAATTTGATAGTACCTTTGTCACACTGTAACTCCTAATTACTAACTGATATTAGGAAGATTATTGATTGATTGAATGTTTACCTATTGATTTAAATGTGTCTGTTAAAGCTAGACTACTTGGTCCTCCACATGCCATATGTTGCGTCCATACACACACGTAAGTGTACATGATCGTGCAATTAATAAAGTCGCTCTTTTTAAGAGCCGGATGTCAAACCCACAAACTTATGATCAGTTAATATTTAATTTCGCTAATGACTACAATTTAAGGCAAGTGCGTCAAGAGAATTTGATGATTATTTCAAAATTAACAACTTCATAAGAACAACTAGACTATCTAACTACGATTCAATTTCAAGCGGAGTTTAAACAATGACTTAAGCAATTTCAGGGTTGTAACTTAACTGAGAATTCATGCATAGTACCATCTTCTACCAACTTCTATTGGTTGTCGAATCTCTGGCTTACAAGGTTAAATGTCTGATTATGGTCTCCTGACGTCTAATCCTCTACCACAGTTGTCAGTCTAACTACATCGTTGAGCGTGGATAGACCACTGAACCAACTGAGGAGCATTAGGTTTTCATTTTGTTTTGTAACCAAGCAAGGTCGCTAGGTATATCTCTAACCTAGATACAAATCAAACCTAGTTCATGTACTAATTAGAGAAGATCATGTCCCTTTTGTTCCATGTTCTATATTTTTATTCCTCTCCCGAGTTCAAGTCAAACAATGAATATATCTTAATGGTGCTCAGGCATTAACATAGTGAATTTAAGAACAAAGGAGCAATTCATAGTAACAACCAATTCACTCCGCATATTAGATATTACACAATCATTCATAGTCATAGCCCTAGAATAAAACGGATTAGCTACTCATAGTTTGATTCTCAATAATTGAATATCTGATAATCATAAGAGAAATCAATAGATGAAAAGATTAGGGATGAACCCGAAAATGCGGAATAGTTAGTCGTCCAAGCCATCTTCACCAAAACAAAAAAAAAGATTAACTGAAATAATAAAACTCAAGTCTATTTATAGTTGGAAAAATTGGCAAAAAGTTGGCTTGCAAGTCCGTGACACGAAGTCAATACGGACCTGCGTCTTTTCTCAGCATCTTCCTCTCCGTGACGCGGAAAGGATACAAACTTTTCTATTCCAGCAATCATCCGGAGCGAAATAATAATTCTACCCTTCGCGACATGGAGAGGATACGAAGCTGAGCCTTTCCCTTAGATCATTCTTGAGCTCCTTTGTGACTCGTCTCTGGTGCGTCTATTTTACGTCCACTTCATATCTATTCACTTGTGTGCCTTTTGCTCGTGTCTTCCAACCTACAAACACTAATCAGATTGGTTACTCGAAATGCATAAACACAAGTCAATTACTATTAACACCATGAGAATTTGTCCTCAAACTTTTCTAAAGTACAGGTTTCCTTTGGCTTTTAGGAATATAAATATGCTTAAGACACCCCACACTTAGAGCTTTGTTCGTACTCGAATAATTCCTCACATTTACCCTAGACCTAGACTAAATCATGAATAGCATTTGTAATTTGGTTACACACTCACACGGCCTTTTTCACTTCAAATTCAACCTGGGCAAACATTGAAACCACATGACCTAAAACATAGACTCAATCAACTTTTAGCAACTCGAACATAGAGGCTCATGCACATTACTTAGTCATCAACTAGCCTTCATCAACTAGTGCCCTCAGAGGAAAACAAAATAGTCCATGATTAATAACATTTCAAAGACACTTCATCCAATTCTAAGCGTCAACGATCGTTAATCAGTATAAAATCCAACTAAATGAGTTGGGGTCGAATCCCACAGGGAGCGGTACCTGTTTTAGATTCCATTGGAAAGTATGAACATGGTCAAATCAATCATAGGAATAAAAGTTATCGAATAAATACATCATCCAAATTAAAGAGTGACACGAATGTCAAATGGGGATTTTGGTTTTGATTATCAACTACAAACAGCAGTCACAACAATACGAATTAACAATAATGAGACGGGTTCTTGGGATGTGATTGATTATAGGCTAATATAGACATATGGGTAATTGCAAATATTAGAAAATAGCTAGATATTTGTGAGTAGGCTAGGCTATAGTGGAGGTAAATTTTCTCTCGAACAAGTTACCCCGAATCAAGTGATTTCTCTCGAACATCAACAAGCATGCAAAATAAGAGCAGCCCACACCTTAATCCATTCACTCTCTCGAGCTGAATGTGTGGGATTGGGTTTAGGATTCACTCTCTCGAGTTGAACCCATGTCAACACAATACCCACAAACCATCAATCAAAAACCTTAATTCTAAAATCCCTCTATCGAGCAAGACAAGAACACAAACAGAGAACTGCATTTGCAACTACAATTCTTAAATTAAACCATAATTAATGATTAAACTCACTTCTAAATAGCATTTAAACTAACAATTAGCAATACCCATAAACTAAATGAGCCCATAATCACATAATCATACCCCAGGAATTGGAGTTTTCGCTAGGCATTATAAAAAGGTAAAAACTGTTACCAAATTGATTATCCATCAACTGGGTAAAAGTAATTTTGTCCTTACAATGCTCCAATTTGATGAACTTCAAAGACCCACTTTTAATTTCTCAAAAGTGAATTTCTTCAATCCCTCAAAGCTAAGGAAAACTAGAGAAAACTCCCTCCAGGTCCTCAAAACTTAATAACAAATTGTTCTAAAGAGTTATTGATACTAAACTAAATGTTCAAAAATGTATTTATAGTAGCCAAAAAATGTGTTGCGAAGAGTCAACCGGCGAAGTAAGTCAGGCTCGCCGAACCACTCGGCGAGCCACCCTTTGGTATCTTTCATCACCCTTTTGCTTTGGTACTCAGCATCCTCAAGGTCTGTAACTTTAGGCGAGCTATCTTGGCTTCGCAGAATCACTCGACGAACCGTTGACTGCTCATTTCCATCGCCAACTTGGTTCTTTCCTTCAAGGCTTGGCACACTGGAACTTTAGGCGGTCTGATGGGCCACTCGGCGACACACCGAATGCTCTTGGCGATCCTCAGGCTCACTTGTTTCTTTTTGCTTGTTAGTGTCCTTGCTTTATTCCTCAATCCATATTCCTGAAAATCAAGGATTTAACATCAGTTATTGGCACAAAATAAGCATCTGAGGACACTAAATCTATATAAACAAAGCCCAATATGAGTCCAAATTCCGTACTCATCAACACCCACAACTTAAAAATTTTCTTGTCCTCAAGTAAAACTTAAGTTCAACGGCTCAGAAAGGTATATCAAATAGTGCTACAAAACACTCAATCATGAATGTACACAACAAGACTCAACTTACTCATACAAGGATCAATTGTGCACTCAAAGATTCAAAGTGTGACTCACTATTATCAAAGATTCTCAAGTTCACAATACTTACTTCAAATGCAAGTTCAAGCTTAACAAAGGTACTCAAATGCCCTCTAAACAAAGATGATTCCATATTCACACACAATTCTTCAATAATTTGTAGTTCTGAAATCAAATACAACTCTCACACTCACAAAGATGAACACATGCATGACTTCACCCATAGGTTTGCCCTTATTTTCCAATCAACATTCGTTTCAGCTTGCTCAAGATCAAAAAGATCTTTTCAAGGCTTGCAACGGGGCTGAGTGTAAAGGTATGATCATTTAGGCTCAGTGACTGCTTGATGTGAGGCTAAAATTATATATATTTAATCATTATTTATCTCATATTTAATATTTTAATTATCCTTTTTAGTATGGATTGTGCTAAATTGTGCATTTTATTTATAGGATTAAATTGGTGGGAAAATGAAGAAGTTTGGAGCTAAAACAAATTAAAGATGGAAGATTAAAGAAGAAAAATCAAGCAAGCAGTTTAATGCATTAAAAGTTATAAAATAATACATAAGTTAAATTGTAATTACAATTGCAATTTTGCTGCCACGTGTAAGAATCTGAAGATAGGCATAAATTATTTGAGGCGGCAGTACTGTTCACGGACAGCTCACGCGGAAAAAAAGAGGAATCCAATTCCTTTTGGTTTTTGATTCCTAATTTAACTTGGACTCAGTTATTTTATTTATGGTTTTTTATATCTATAAATAGGCCATAGAAATAATTTTTTTGGGGCAAGAAATCATTGATAGGAGATACTTTTTAGGTTCTTTTCTTGTTCTTATGGGGTTAGACACTATTGTTTATTTTTAGTTCTTACTATTTTCTTGGGAATTAACTTGCAAACTTTGGCAACTTGATTTTCGAATTTCGATTTATAAAGATTTGTGCTTTGAATTTCAATTGGAGATTTCGGGTTTCTTCTACTCTAATCATAAATTCATGAATTCTTTTAATCAAAATATGAATTGTGTTCTTTCAAGCATGAGTAACTAAATCCACAACTAGGGTTGTGGGATACATGAGCAATTAACAACGTATGAGTAATAAATAAGTAATTCTTGAATAGTGTTGATGCATGTATTGGTAATTATTTCGTTTAGAAGTCTTTTTAACAAGTGCATGCATTAGAACTCGTCTTGTTGCTACTTGTCGGACCAAGGAGGTAGTTAATAAGAAACGAATTATCAACAGAGATTTAGTGTGATACTATCTAATAGTCTAATGTCAATTGGTGCAAGGGTGAAAACTAAGTCATACATTGATGTGATGTCTAATATGAGGTAAAGGTAAGGGTTAGTAAATTATACACACGTAGTCGGACCAAGGTGCGGGGTGAAATTTCCTCTTTGGAGGACCAATCACTTAGGGATACCTAACTTACCAATTT